TATTTCCTTGAAATACAAATGGTTTGTTTCATTTTATTCCAGTACGAAATATCGCATTCCAAACTCACATCTTGTAAAAGTATAGACCTGTCTCAGAAATGGACCGGAAATTGTTTGAAATCATCAGGCAGGCAGATGTAGTTATATTTGAACGTTAGTTGGCTCAAAGCTTGGGTGTACCCTCCCATTTCGATTCATACGTTCGTCCTGTTATTACCATGCTGACTCATTTCATGACAGTTTACCTTTGATGCAAGCGGATATACGAAATATCATTTATCTGAACTGCGGAGAAAGATATGAAGACATGATTGATCATTGCAATCAAAACCCAACAGCCTGAAAAATATTCATCTGTGACCAGCTCCCAGTTGGCTTGATATTATAAAAGAATAAAGGAATATCACAGCTGAATTAAATAAAACGTTCTGCTCACAGTAGTCACTCTAGTGTAATTTGCTCAACAAAATTTTGAATTTCGAATTTTTTTCCCTTGATCCGATCCGTGATCCGATCCATGATCCGGTCCGGTCCGGTCCGGTCCGATCCAGTTTTGTCGACGCCGTAAGCTTACAATATATTTAAAATGACGCAACAGCTTTCGAGTGAACATCGACATTTGCATGTTTAGATAAATTTTGAAACCCAAGAGAGTTTTCTCAAACAAAAATGGTTTAGATGATTACAATTGTGAGGAACATCATGCAAGCTAAAAAAGATAATTTAGCTCAACTCTAAGATTACATAAGCAAGACCAGAAGTCGGCTCTTAATATACTAATACAAACGTAGCCAAAATTAATGTGTAGGAACACAATAATATGCTTTACTTACACATAAATACAGAACCATCATACCTTGAGACTGTATTCAAATCTCAGTGCAGTCAATCTGGAAGCAAGACTGAAATCACCACATGTTTAATCCTCGTTGCAGCCACAACAACCCATCGAACAAGAAGTCGCCATTTTAAAGCGCGGATTGGTAACGAGTCCTGAGCGACCGCTCGCCTATTGCATCATTTGAGTCAGTCAGCCGGAAAATACCCTGCGAGCGAGAGCAAAAACTCGACCATCCCCCGCTTCGTCGAGTTTTTGCTCTCGCTCCAATTTACGCGCGGTCAGAATGCGGAAAAGCTTTAGCTTTGTACGGGAACGCTTGTTACGCAGGCTAGCCGGAAGAGCAAGCATCCGGAAATGAGGATTTTTACGATAACTGCAGAAATTCTCGCGCGCTCATTGGCTATATTTTATTGTCAATAAGCGGACAGACACATGAATTTATAATTTATGTAACGCGTCGACGACCGAGAGCGGACAATTTGACAATTTGTTATCGTAAAAAACAAATTGACGTCAGTTTTTCATGTGTCTATCCTGTTATTGATCATGAATTTCGTCATAACATTGTCAAAGTAGTCTACAGATCCACTCGGTTACCGCCTCGTGGATCCACAGCTACTTTGACAATGTTATGACGAAATTCATGATATATAATAGAACAGACGCATGAAAAACTGACGTCCATTTGTTAAGGGATAGCTTAGCCTGCGAGAAGGCTCACGTTGGAGCACAAGCGCGCACGGCGTAGCCGCAAGCGCAAAATCGCGAGACGAGAAAATGAAAAACAGACCGAAGAATCCAACCACCACAGTCCCCAAAAAGGAGATAATCTTAGTTCTACCTTATTTAGGGTTACAAAGCAAAATAGTTATCAAACAGCTGAGGACCTGCATTAGTAAATTTTATAGCTCCATTAATCTTAGGGTTATTTTCCATAGCGCTCATCGCATCAAGTCTTTTTTCCCTATAAAGATAGGATCAACCGTTCCCAAATGTCAAAAGTTGTGTATAAGGCTAGCTGTTGGGACTGCCAGGATTTCTACATTGGAAAAACAAAACGTAGATTGCATGACAGAAAAACTGAACATTTAAAGCGATCACGAGTAGCTGTCATGCGTCTGCTATCGCAGACCACGTCACGTCAACTGGTCACAACTTAAAATGGTCGGTCAGATACTCATTGCAAGATAAAGGAGACTCTACTAATTAGGGAATTGAAACCCACCCTAAACGACAATGTTAGCGGCGAAAAGCTTTATCTTTATTAGTTTGCATCTTTTAACATGCAAATTTTTCTCAGCTTCTGTCATTGTTATTGTTAATTTGTAACTTATCTTTAATTTAAATTTAGTTGTTACTTCTATTCCAAACGGTCACTTCTGAAGATGTATGTCGAAACATACGAAACGTCAAGTCAATGAATTTTGTTTTCCAAACTGCGTTTTATTGTCATATTTGTCAAAGTAGTTTAATTGTGTGTTATTTCTTATTAATGTGACAACTCCTTTTAACGGATTCCGTGAGATGGTAAAAATGAGACTAAGTATTTCCCTGTCATGAACAATTGCTATGGAGCTCTTGATTATCGCGAAACAATAAATGTCCTGACTATCTCAGATTATTCATATGCCACACTTGATCTTTATTTCACTACAAATGAATTCGTGTATAACAGCGAAAGGATGCCGCTTTGAAAACTTCTATCCATCTGTAGTAGCCTGCAGTAA